TGGGCGTGGGCACAGGAGGGCACCTCTGTCACATGCCCCTGCCCCCTGCGAGGGGACTCGGGGCAGGGGCAGAGAGGCGGCGGCGATGATGTTGAGGTCTTGCAAACTCATGTCCTGTGTGAGTGGCGTGGGGGCAGGCAGCGGGGTGGGGCATGGGGGGAACCCGGCCTAGGTGGGCCGCGCTGACCCCCACGGCGTGAGCCCCGCCGAGCTGGGCTGGGCTGAGCCAGGCCAAGTTGTGTTGTGCTGTGTTGGGTTGTGCCGTACGGAGCCATGCCATACTGAGCCGTGCTGTGCCGTACGGAGGAGCCGTGCCGTACCAAGCCGTGCCATGCCGTACCAAGCCGTGCCGTACCAAGCCGTGCCATTCTGGTGGGAGCTTCCAGGCTCTTCTGGGAAGTCGGATGCTTTCCCAGGCAGCCTCACCATGGGGAGCCATGGGGAAAGCAGGGAGCCCTGGCCCCCACCCCAAACCCTGGTCCCCCCCCAGAGCGGCCCTTGGCGCCCCAGGGTCCCCGTGGAGCTGGTGGCAGGGGCCTGAGCCTCGCAGGAACGCCAGGCCGGCCGGCGAGGACGCTGCCCAGTGCCACCCGCAGGGCCGTGCTGGGGTGACGTCTGCTTGCACCCCAGGTCCCCGCCACATGCGCCTTCTCTGTGCTGAGTCATGGTGCCAGTGCAGAGCAGCACCCTGTCCCCGGGGATGGCGCGTCATGCCGGGGCCACCGAGCCGGCCTGGGTGGCCCCGTGGCTGGTGACCTCTGGTTTCAGAGTCCCGCTGTGCCGTGGCCCGGGCAGGGTGCAGGGTGCCGCCTGCCTCCCCGGGTGCGGCAGCCACAGGGACCCGTCAGGCTGGTTCCTTCCCCATCCCCAAGGCCACTCCACTGGGGTGGGGACAAGAGGGGCTGGGGCAGCTGGCAGACCCCTGCCATGGGCTGCTGGCCATGGGCACAGGGTGGGACCCCCGATGACCACGTGCCTTCCGGATACACCCTGCTTTCCCCAGATGCCTGGGTTCCCTCCTGGGGACTCTGGTCCCCCCTAACTGGGTGCCAGTCACAGGGGTTTTCCTGGGCTCAGGCTCCTATTTTGGGCCCTTCCCTGGCCCCACAGATGAGGCGGTGCCGGGGGGCACCGGGTGCTTTTTGGGAAACCGCAGAGCAGTGAAACTTCCTGACTGGGTGGACACCACCATGGTGGTTATTTTCGGCACCGCCGTCACTGCAATGGCGAAGGGCGGTGCGGCTGTAGCAGCTTTGCCGCGGCTGGGACAGACGGACAGTGGGAGGGATGGAGGGACAGACGCTGAGCTGCTCCCCCCGGCCTGGCATGGCTGGCCTGGGTGTGCCCCCCACCGGCACCGCTGCCCACCCAGCCCGGCTGTGGGAAGCGCTGGAGTCATGCTGGAGGAAGCGCCCAGTCTCCTCCCAGCCCCGTCCCAGTCGGGGTCAGATCCTGGTCCCTTCCCGGCAACGGTCCTGGGGTCATGTCACCGCTGTGAGCAGGGGGCACGTGGGGGGTCCTGGCACCTGCCTGACGCTTGGGGTGGGCATCCCCCAGTGCCAGCGCTGGGGATTGGCAGGCGGGTAAAGGCCTGGCACCGGCTCCTGGCAGCGCTGTTGTTTTCCTGGCCTTGGAGATCGTGCCTTCCTCCTCCTCCTCGTCTTCCTCCTCCTGGGGTGGAGATCGTTCCTCCTCCTCGTCTTCCTCCTTCCTCCTGCTGGGGGTTCTGTGAGGGGGCCCGGCGTGGCCGGGGAGGGGAGCTCAGCCCTGGGGGGATCCTGGCTTCCCTCCCCAGGGACGCATCCACCTCCCTCCAAGGTGACGCGGGTGGCACTTGTCCCTATAGCTTCCTGGGGGGACTCAGGAGTTCTGGAGCCCCCACGTGACCC